CCATGACCACCCTACCATCACCACTCTACCCTCACCAGACAACCATCACCAGCCTACCATCACCACTACTAACACCATCACCAGCCTACCACCACTACTACTATCACCATCACCAGCCTACCATCACCAGCCTACCATGACCACCCTACCATCACCACTCTACCCTCACCAGACAACCATCACCAGCCTACCATCACCACTACTAACACCATCACCAGCCTACCACCACTACTACTATCACCATCACCAGCCTACCATCACCAGCCTACCATGACCACCCTACCATCACCACTCTACCCTCACCAGACAACCATCACCAGCCTACCATCACCACTACTAACACCATCACCAGCCTACCACCACTACTACTATCACCATCACCAGCCTACCATCACCAGCCTACCATGACCACCCTACCATCACCACTCTACCCTCACCAGACAACCATCACCAGCCTACCATCACCACTACTAACACCATCACCAGCCTACCACCACTACTACTATCACCATCACCAGCCTACCATCACCAGCCTACCATGACCACCCTAACCATCACCACTCTACCCTCACCAGACAACCATCACCAGCCTACCATCACCACTACTAACACCATCACCAGCCTACCACCACTACTACTATCACCATCACCAGCCTACCATCACCAGCCTACCATGACCACCCTACCATCACCACTCTACCCTCACCAGACAACCATCACCAGCCTACCATCACCACTACTAACACCATCACCAGCCTACCACCACTTCTACTATCACCATCACCAGCCTACCATCACCAGCCTACCATGACCACCCTACCATCACCACTCTACCCTCACCAGACAACCATCACCAGCCTACCATCACCACTACTAACACCATCACCAGCCTACCACCACTACTACTATCACCATCACCAGCCTACCATCACCAGCCTACCATGACCACCCTACCATCACCACTCTACCCTCACCAGACAACCATCACCAGCCTACCATCACCACTACTAACACCATCACCAGCCTACCACCACTACTACTATCACCATCACCAGCCTACCATCACCAGCCTACCATGACCACCCTACCATCACCACTCTACCCTCACCAGACAACCATCACCAGCCTACCATCACCACTACTAACACCATCACCAGCCTACCACCACTACTACTATCACCATCACCAGCCTACCATCACCAGCCTACCATGACCACCCTACCATCACCACTCTACCCTCACCAGACAACCATCACCAGCCTACCATCACCACTACTAACACCATCACCAGCCTACCACCACTACTACTATCACCATCACCAGCCTACCATCACCAGCCTACCATGACCACCCTACCATCACCACTCTACCCTCACCAGACAACCATCACCAGCCTACCATCACCACTACTAACACCATCACCAGCCTACCACCACTACTACTATCACCATCACCAGCCTACCATCACCAGCCTACCATGACCACCCTACCATCACCACTCTACCCTCAGCAGACAACCATCACCAGCCTACCATCACCACTACTAACACCATCACCAGCCTACCACCACTACTACTATCACCATCACCAGCCTACCATCACCAGCCTACCATGACCACCCAACCATCACCACTCTACCCTCACCAGACAACCATCACCAGCCTACCATCACCACTACTAACACCATCACCAGCCTACCAACCACTACTACTATCACCATCACCAGCCTACCATCACCAGCCTACCATGACCACCCTACCATCAACACTCTACCCTCACCAGACAACCATCACCAGCCTACCACCACTACTACTATCACCATCACCAGCCTACCATCACCAGCCTACCATGACCACCCTACCATCAACACTCTACCCTCACCAGACAACCATCACCAGCCTACCACCACTACTACTATCACCATCACCAGCCTACCATCACCAGCCTACCATGACCACCCTACCATCACCACTCTACCCTCACCAGACAACCATCACCAGCCTACCATCACCACTACCACTATTGCCACCTTACCACCAACCCGCACTCACAGTTTCCAACTCTAGCAGCAGCATTACCATCCCTACCATTAACACCAATACATCTACCACCAAAACCACTTCCAACACTAATCTACGCTTAATAATTAACATTAATACCACTACCCACACCACTAACAACATTACCCACACCACTAACATTACCCACACCACTACAATAGAGTTCTCTCCTCCACAGAGAAGTACTGATGACTTACACCAACATTAGTTACCGGGAGTTTTGTAAACATGTTGGCAAGGTGTTAAGGCCTCTCCTCAAACCATCTTACCCTACCCCCACGCCCACGCCCACGCCCACGCCTACACCATCACCCATGCCCACACCCAAAGGTATTAAAATTATGCGTTGAAAAATAAACACACTGGATGTAACTTTAAAAATAACATTATTTCGGTTGCTACTGCTACTATTACTACTACTACTACTGCTATTACTACTACTAATTACTAATACTAATACCGTTACCACTACCATTCAATTCAATTCAATTCAATTCAAGTTTATTCTCTATAAGGGTTACAATGTGGGGTTTACAGGTTTTGGGTATTGTGTGGTTTACATGTTATAAAATACTAATTACAGAGGGGGGCCACTAGGACACCTAGCATGGCTAGGCATTTCGAGCAGACTTAGATTAATTCTTAACATTAAATCCTTACAGATTATGGTATTAAGGCTAAGTGACTACATCATAATTTGTGAGTTTAGCAATGTGAATGCTTTTGTTTTGGCACAATACAAAGTGTCTATATTGGAGTATCATAGGCAAACTTATGACTAGTTAGGATTTATTATTTTATTATTATTTACTGCCGCATCAGTCAGTAATATTAATATCAAAGTTATTATCATTATCTTTATTTACAAATAATACTACACACTGAGAAATACTTCTATATCACAGATGAGGATGAGAAGGTTGTTGGAGTCTTGCAAGATTTCTCTGTGGGATCGTCTCTTTGGTCAGTGTACAGCAACCTGGCCAAGATTCACAGGTGAGTAGGGTTCATACTGCTCAAGCCGTCACAGCCCTTAAATTCTATAACAACACAGGTGAGTAGGGTTCATACTGATCAAGCCGTCACTACCGTTAAGCTCGACAACACAGGCAAGTAGGATTCATACCTCTCAAGTTATTACAGCCCTTAAATTTCACAACACAAGTGAGCAGGGTCCACACAGCTCAAGCCGTCACAGCCCTTAAATTCCATAACAACACAGGTGAGTAGGGTTCTTACTGCTCAAGCCGTCACAACCCTTAATTAAGCTCGACAACACAGGTGAGTAGGGTCCACACAGCTCAAGCCGTCACCATTAACAAGGTAACACAAATGTTTAATTACACAGTATTACATGCAATACTTAATATACGGGAAAAAAAGAACTAACGTAAACTCGATAACGAACATTTGCATGATCGTTACCTCACGTGAAATAAATATACTGCATGTATACATCAGATGCATACATAGAGTATATCACTAGGATATACATAGAATACATCAAGGCAGTAGAATACTGGAGGCAGTAGATGTCGTGTTCTGGTAAGACAGTGATCGAATGAATGACAGTGGAAGTGTTTTCCTTGTCAGGTCACCCTACCTCGGTGGGAGACGACCTGAGTGTAATAATAATAATAATAATAATAATAATAATAATAATAATAATAATAATAATAATGTTTGTCGGAGGTTCGTCAAGATAGCTGGAGCAACGGGAGACGAAGCCACAGCTGGTGAGAAGGGAGAGTTGGAGGGGTTCCCCAACTGGTTCATAGGCGCAGTAGCCAACTGGTTGACTCATCTCCACACCCAGACGCTGAGAAATCTTCAGTGTGCTCTCACAAAGGATGCTGACCTTGCTGTTGTGATTCCTGAAGCCACATCGGTCGCTTCCGAATCCTCTTTGTCAGTTTCAGACCCTTCTTTGGAACCTCCTAATTCTTCAGCTGTCTGTGAATCCCATTCGCTTATCTATAAATCATCTTCCACTGTTCCTGTATCATCTTCCACTGTTCCTACATCATCTTCCACTGTTTCTGCATCATCTTCCACTGTTCCTGCATCATCTTCCACTGTTCCTGCATCATCTTCCACTGTTCCTGTATCATCTTCCACTGCTCCTGTATCATCTTCCACTGTTCCTGTATCCTCTTCCACTGTTCCTGTATCATCTTCCACTGTTCCTGTATCATCTTCCACTGTTCCTGCATCATCTTCCAATGTTCCTGCATCATCTTCCACTGTTCCTGCATCATCTTCCACTGTTCCTGTATCATCTTCCACTGTTCCTGTATCATCTTCCACTGTTCCTGCATCATCTTCCACTGTTCCTGTATCATCTTCCACTGTTCCTGCACCATCTTCCACTGTTCCTGCATCATCTTCCACTGTTCCTGCATCATCTTCCACTGTTCCTGCACCATCTTCCACTGTTCCTGCATCATCTTCCACTGTTCCTGCATCATCTTCCACTGTTCCTGCACCATCTTCCACTGTTCCTGCATCATCTTCCACTGTTCCTGCATCATCTTCCACTGTTCCTGCACCATCTTCCACTGTTCCTGCATCATCTTCCACTGTTCCTGCATCATCTTCCACTGTTCCTGCATCATCTTCCACTGTTCCTGCATCATCTTCCACTGTTCCTGTATCATCTTCCACTGTTCCTGCATCATCTTCCACTGTTCCTGCATCATCTTCCACTGTTCCTGCACCATCTTCCACTGTTCCTGCATCATCTTCCACTGTTCCTGCATCATCTTCCACTGTTCCTGCATCATCTTCCACTGTTCCTGTATCATCTTCCACTGTTCCTGCATCATCTTCCACTGTTCCTGCATCATCTTCCACTGTTCCTGCACCATCTTCCACTGTTCCTGTATCATCTTCCACTGTTCCTGCATCATCTTCCACTGTTCCTGCACCATCTTCCACTGTTCCTGCATCATCTTCCACTGTTCCTGCATCATCTTCCACTGTTCCTGTATCATCTTCCACTGTTCCTGCATCATCTTCCACTGTTCCTGCATCATCTTCCACTGTTCCTGCATCATCTTCCACTGTTCCTGTATCATCTTCCACTGTTCCTGGATCTGCCTCCACTTCCTCCCTCCAGGAACTACTCAGAGTGTTCACTAAGGTAATTATGGGTTAATATCCTTTGTTTACATGTGAATATAACCTTTTATTATTATGTCATTATCTTATTCGTGTTTCTCAGATAAAAGCAATTTAAGAGAACTCTGTGTTGTGTGTGTTGCAGCTGTGTTGTGTATGTTGCAGCTAAGTTGTGTGTGTTGCAGCTATGTTGTGTGTGTTGCAGGTGGAGTGTTGGTGGGAGGCGCTAGCGTGGCCACAGGAGGAAACAAAGGGAGCATTGTTGGTGCTGGTGTTGGAGAACTTGTCTTCCATGGCAGTGGAGTGTTGCAGAGGACTTACAAGTCTACTCCACTCCAACACTGCCATGACCACCCACTCAACACCGCCCACAACACGACCCACGCCCACGCCCACTTCTGAGACTGATGTTCACTCGCCTCTTTTCAACCTAAAAGTAACTATCGGAAATATCTGATATCGGTTACTTGAAATATATTTCCTTTCATGTGGGTCTCCCGTAGCTTGGTTGGTAGTGCACTCAGCTCACACACTGAGGTCCGTGGTTCGATCCCCGGTACGGGTAGAAACATTGGGGAGTGTTTCCTTAAGACACGTGCTGTCTCTATTCACCTAGCAGTAAGTAGGTACCTGAGTGCTAGTCGACTGGTGTGGGTGGCATCCTGGGGACAAAATTAACCTAAGTTTCGGAAAATGCTCTGCATAACCAGGAACTTTCTATAGAATATGTCACTGATGTCAGCTATGGTCTGTATAAGTTGTATCATGTACTGGTTGATATAAAGATTATTATTATTATTATTAATCATAATGTTCTCTCTTCCTACAGTTGGTAAGGGTGGTGGCGAGTATAAGTGAAGCACAGCGTCAGGTACTGGGTCTGGCTGGCATCCTGGGGGTGGAAGAGACGGTGCAGCAGCTGCTGCAGGGTAAGAGAATCACTGCTGCAGAACAAGTGAAGGTCACCGTGATGACTCTCACTGCCAGTGTCAGCAGCAACATTGATACACTGCTCGACGGCACCATAGAGTCAGCTGTTGATAAGGTGAGACAAAGTTTTTATCAACACTGGTCAAATTTTTGATAAAACATGTAGTGAGTAGAACTATAAACTTGTCTTAATTATCGTTGTTGGACATGGAGCTTGGACATGGGACATTTCTTAAACAAGACACGTGTTGATTAACACGTTTCGTGCATTTGGTTAAGAATGGATCAACAATATCTCTCCTGCCTTGAACACAGCAGTCAAGAAAGAACAAAGAGGAACAATACCGTGACTGGAACGATACACAAATAACCCGCACATAAAAGAGAGAAGCTTACGACGACGTTTCGGTCCGACTTGGTTAGTTTAGTTTAATATGTTTATTATGCATCCCATACCCATCCTGTGGGCGGTAGTCAAAAGATTACAGAGGTACATAATTGGTCCAGGGACTGGACTCCAAAGTTTTGATAGCTGAGCAAGTTACAGAGGTAATGAACTCACAATTTACAAAGGTAATGAGCTCACAATTTACAAAGGTAATGAACTCCAGGTAGGTCTGGTCACAATCATGACAAGTTACAAAGGTATTTACAGATTACAGAGGTACGTAATGGGTCCAGGGACTGGGCCCCCAAAGTTTTGATAGCTGAACTAGGTACAAAGGTAATGAGCTCTGATATTTGCTTGTAATGTTCCCCTGTCTTCTACCAAGGCGACTTTCATGTTGATTTTGATGACAGGAATAACTGGAAGATAGGAAGTACTGGAGAATGTTTTTATCATGTTACCAACGGTATAAAATACCAAGAAGTAGAAGACTAAGATACATGGGCAACACGAACAATCTTTATTAAATAAATGTTTCGCCTGTGTTGCAGTCTTCATCAGTTGATTACACAGACATCAACACTGGTGGAAGACGAAGTAGAGAAGGTGGAGAGGTAGTTGATGTTATGAATATTAAAACAGTAGAGGCACCAGGATCCTGCCTTGACCAACTCAACTTTTTACTTTGCTAAGGCTAGATTTACCTTTATTTACTACATCTGTGTTCTTTTTGAAAAAAAAAAATAATATTAATTTTCCTATTTTTCCTGTTATATCTACGAACCTTATTTTCTGGTGGATAATACCATGATCACATTTGTTAATATAGGTGAGGGAGAGGCTGAGAGAGGGTGTGGAGAGGGCGTGTGAAGAAGGGAGAGAAGGCTACCTGCTGGACCACATGTTGACACCAACACTCACACTTATCCATCACCATCTTCCTTCCCCTCTCCAGCAGCGTCTCCTGCAGCGCCTGTGGGAGGCTGTCTTAGCAGCCTTCATGCTCACCGTCAGTGGGAAGGCACAGGTGAGAGGGTCAGTGTGTGTGTCTTCATTAAAGTGTTCGTCCCCAACTTATTGTGTTGCTGGAAGATATTTAAATTCTCTTCAGATTATACATCTGCATTATACTCTGTAGATCAGTTGTGAAGTCATTATAATATATATGAAATAACTGTAATATTTGTAAAGATGTAGATATAACCAGTGGAGCTTGAGCAAGGATAAACGTACAGTGTTACTTACCACTTAAGTTACACTGAAATATGATGATGATCATGCAGACACACACACACACTGATCACATACAATACACCTTAACATACGTATATCTTTATTTTCTACCAGTACATGTACAAGGTATACAGACCATAGCTGACATCAATGACATACTACTGTATAGAAAACCGCTTGTTATGCAGAGTATTTCCCGCAAATTAGGTCAATTTTGTCCCAGGATGCGACCCACACCAGTCCACTAACACCCAGGTACCCATTTTACTGATGGGTGAAACATGGGCAACAGGTCTAAGGACACACGCCCAATGTTTTCACCCTTGCCGGGACTCGAACCCGGACCCTCAGCGTGTGAAGCGAGAGCTTTGCGAACCAGGCCACGAGCCACCTTAACGTTAATTATATATGCATTGTTTTTTTCAATTTGCTGGTGCCGTGGCCACGACCTGCCACCACAGAGGACAACACCTGACTATTTCGAGTGTGTGTACCAGATGCTGCAGTCAACTTTCCGTGTGTTCACAACCCCAGGCTCACTACCACCCTCCTCAGCTACCACCCCAGGTTCGTTGGCACCTTCTTCAGACACAATCCCAGTGTAATAATTAACTGTTGAATCACTACAGTTAGTAATTAAATAAATAATCACTTTAGTGATTATAGATTTGATGAGTTGATCTATGAAGGTCGGTAAATGATAACTGGTAAGTCGTTGCTGACAGTGTCACGGAAACAGTGCCCGGCACTGTTGTCACAGGTGTGGGTGAGGGAAAGTGGAGAGGCTGTGGTCACTGCTGGGTGACGCCACAGCTGTGATCTCAACAGTGACCCGGGATGTGCCAGTGAGTTCTGACTAGAAAAGTGTTAGTAGATCAAGAATTAGACACATGTGCAACATCTGGGTATCTTTATTTGTAGACTGGGTATCTTTATTTGTAGACTGGGTATCTTTATTTGTAGACTGGGTATCTTTATTTGTAGACTGGGTATCTTTATTTGTAGACTGGGTATCTTTATTTGTAGACTGGGTATCTTTATTTGTAGACTGGTTATCTACAAACGTGTCTAACACTTTATCTTGTCTGTATTGCATACCATTCATGTAGGAGCATTAGATTACATTACGTTAACCTGTTTAAGTTAGATGACATTACACAACATACGTGTAAGTTACATTAAGTTAGGTTTTGCTAGAATGATTAGATTATTTCAAGTTACATTTGCGTTATGTTGAAGAATATTATGACTGGCAGTGACAGGTTACAGGTCACTGATGGTGTGTGACAGGTTACAGGTCACTGATGGTGTGTGTGTGTGTGAGGTTACAGGTCACTGATAGTGTGTGGGTGTGTGTGTGTTACAGGTCACTGATGGTGTGTGTGTGTGTGAGGTTACAGGTCATTGATAGTGTGTGGGTGTGTGTGTGTTACAGGTCACTGATGGTGTGTGTGTGTGTGTGAGGTTACAGGTCATTGATAGTGTGTGGGTGTGTGTGTGTTACAGGTCACTGATGGTGTGTGTGTGTTACAGGTCACTGATGGTGTGTGTGTGTTACAGGTCACTGATGGTGTGTGTGTGTGAGGTTACAGGTCATTGATAGTGTGTGGGGGTGTGTGTGTTACAGGTCACTGACAGTGTGTGACAGGTTACAGGTCACTAGTGGAGGACCTGGATGAAAGACGGGTGTCTTCACACCAGCTGATCCTTCAGTACTACCAGGAACATCTCACCCACCTCACCCACCACACCACGCCCACCACAGCCCACCTCCTTCTCAGAGTAAGAGAAACACACGTACAATACCTCTGTGTATATACATTGGTTAAAAAGAGAAAAAATGGGGGACGACGTATAACTATGCAAAACAACCACTGTGAAAAAATAGCGAATTCCTTGATAATGTGAGAAATCGCGTAAGTACTTGGAAGTTCACTATATTTTCACAGTGGTTGTTTTGCATACTGTGATATCACCTGTTTACTGTGATCTTATTACATGATAACTATATATATGATCTTGATCATAAGAAGAATGTGATAAGTTAGATCAAAATTTCTTAACAAAGAGGAGAACAAAACGTTAAGATTGAGAAGTGAGTTACACAGTGAGATCTGAAGTAGTTATTTCCTTGTCGTGTTCCATCAAGCAGGATGGTGATCATATTTAGTGTTACACTCCGTCAGCCTGAGCTGGGAGAATTCACTAGGGTAATGAGGATGTCAGAGACGATACTAGAAAGCATTTCTTTACATATAATGGCAGGCAGTAGGAATGGAATCCACTAGGTATTACTATATGGGTTATATTTAATGTGACACTCTTAAAACTTAACACTGTAGACGGGACACGACAAGTGTAGCTCTTCTCCTGTTGCTACAAAATGTACTCTCAGATAAACAGACATAGACAGCCACTAAAAAGACTAACAAACCACTTTTTGTTTACTAAACAGACATTTTACAGTCAACCTGGAAGTCTGAGGGTGAGGGTGCTGGAGGTTCGGGATATCTGCTGGAGTGAGGCCACAGGTTCTTCGTGTCAGAGGTCAGGTCAGCAGGCCAGGTACTGTGTGGAGGTGCAGCTGGTTCCTCGTCACATGTTCCCCAGCGCCTCTGTCTGCACCACCTCCAAGCAGCGACCTCCGGCCTCCTTCTACGACACCTTCCAGTTGTTAGTAGTTTCTTGTTTTCTGTAGGAAGTGTCTGCCACTGCCATACTGTAGGGAAGTGTCTGCCACTTCCACACTGTAGGGAAGTGTCTGCCACGTCCATACTGTAGGGAAGTGTCTGCTACTTCCATACTGTAGGGAAGTGTCTGCCACGTCCATACTGTAGGGAAGTGTCTGCCACTGCCATACTGTAGGGAAGTGTCTGCCACTTCCACACTGTAGGGAAGTGTCTGCCACGTCCATACTGTAGGGAAGTGTCTGCTACTTCCATACTGTAGGGAAGTGTCTGCCAATTTTATATTGTAGGGAAGTGTCTGCCACGTCCATACTGTAGGGAAGTGTCTGCCAATTTCATATTGTAGGGAAGTGTCTGCCACGTCCATACTGTAGGGAAGTGTCTGCCAATTTCATATTGTAGGGAAGTGTCTGCCACTTCCATACTGTAGGGAAGTGTCTGCCAATTTTATATTGTAGGGAAGTGTCTGCCACTTCCATACTGTAGGGAAGTGTCTGCCACTTTCATACTGTAGGGAAGTGTCTGCCACTTCCATACTGTAGGGAAGTGTCTGCCACTCCCATACTGTAGGGAAGTGTCTGCCACTTCCATACTGTAGGGAAGTGTCTGCCACTTCCATACTGTAGGGAAGTGTCTGCCACTTCCATACTGTAGGGAAGTGTCTGCCACTTCCATACTGTAGGGAAGTGTCTGCCACTTCCATACTGTAGGGAAGTGTCTGCCACTTCCATACTGTAGGGAAGTGTCTGCCACTTTCATACTGTAGGGAAGTGTCTGCCACTTTCATACTGTAGGGAAGTGTCTGCCACTTCCATACTGTAGGGAAGTGTCTGCCACTTCCATACTGTAGGGAAGTGTCTGCCACTTCCATACTGTAGGGAAGTGTCTGCCACTTCCATACTGTAGGGAAGTGTCTGCCAATTTCATATTGTAGGGAAGTGTCTGCCACTTGTGTCAAGTCTTCCACCTGCCACTTGTGTCATGTCTTCCACCTGCCACTTGTGTCAAGTCTTCCACCTGCCACTTGTGTCATGTCTTCCATCTGCCACTTGTGTCAAGTCTTCCACCTGCCACTTGTGTCAAGTCTTCCACCTGCCACTTGTGTCAAGTCTTCCACCTGCCACTTGTGTCATGTCTTCCACCTGCCACTTGTATCATGTCTTCCACCTGCCACTTGTATCATGTCTTCCACCTGCCACTTGTATCATGTCTTCCACCTGCCACTTGTATCATGTCTTCCACCTGCCACTTGTGTTATGTCTTCCACCTGCCACTTGTATCATGTCTTCCACCTGCCACTTGTGTCATGTCTTCCACCTGCCACTTGTATCATGTCTTCCACCTGCCACTTGTATCATGCCTTCCACCTGCCACTTGTATCATGTCTTCCACCTGCCACTTGTGTTATGTCTTCCACCTGCCACTTGTGTCATGTCTTCCACCTGCCACTTGTGTTATGTCTTCCACCTGCCACTTGTGTTATGTCTTCCACCTGCCACTTGTATCATGTCTTCCACCTGCCACTTGTGTTATGTCTTCCACCTGCCACTTGTATCATGTCTTCCACCTGCCACTTGTATCATGTCTTCCACCTGCCACTTATATCATGTCTTCCACCTGCCACTTGTGTTATGTCTTCCACCTGCCACTTGTATCATGTTTTCCACCTGCCACTTGTGTCATGTCTTCCACCTGCCACTTGTATCATGTCTTCCACCTGCCACTTGTATCATGTCTTCCACCTGAAACTTGTATCATGTCTTCCACCTGCCACTTGTGTTATGTCTTCCACCTGCCACTTGTGTCATGTCTTCCACCTGCCACTTGTGTTATGTCTTCCACCTGCCACTTGTGTTATGTCTTCCACCTGCCACTTGTATCATGTCTTCCACCTGCCACTTGTGTTATGTCTTCCACCTGCCACTTGTATCATGTCTTCCACCTGCCACTTGTGTTATGTCTTCCACCTGCCACTTGTGTTATGTCTTCCACCTGCCACTTGTATCATGTCTTCCACCTGCCACTTGTGTTATGTCTTCCACCTGCCACTTGTGTCATGTCTTCCACCTGCCACTTGTGTTATGTCTTCCACCTGCCACTTGTGTTATGTCTTCCACCTGCCACTTGTGTTATGTCTTCCACCTGCCACTTGTATCATGTCTTCCACCTGCCACTTGTGTTATGTCTTCCACCTGCCACTTGTATCATGTCTTCCACCTGCCACTTGTATCATGTCTTCCACCTGCCACTTGTATCATGTCTTCCACCTGCCACTTGTATCATGTCTTCCACCTGCCACTTGTATCATGTCTTCCACCTGCCACTTGTGTCATGTCTTCCACCTGCCACTTGTATCATGTCTTCCACCTGTCACTTGTGTCATGTCTTCCACCTGCCACTTGTATCATGTCTTCCACCTGCCACTTGTATCATGTCTTCCACCTGTCACTTGTATCATGTCTTCCACCTGCCACTTGTGTCATGTCTTCCACCTGCCACTTGTATCATGTCTTCCACCTGCCACTTGTATCATGTCTTCCACCTGCCACTTGTATCATGTCTTCCACCTGCCACTTGTATCATGTCTTCCACCTGCCACTTGTATCATGTCTTCCACCTGTCACTTGTATCATGTCTTCCACCTGCCACTTGTATCATGTCTTCCACCTGTCACTTGTATCATGTCTTCCACCTGCCACTTGTGTCATGTCTTCCACCTGCCACTTGTATCATGTCTTCCACCTGTCACTTGTATCATGTCTTCCACCTGCCACTTGTGTCATGTCTTCCACCTGCCACTTGTATCATGTCTTCCACCTGCCACTCTCACAACTGCCATAACTAAAGCTACAGTATTATATGGGAGCAGCAGTATTATATGGGAGCAGCAGTATTATATGGGAGCAGCAGTATTATATGGGAGCAGCAGTATTATGTGGGAGCAGCAGTATTATGTGGGAGCAGCAGTATTATGTGGGAGCAGCAGTATTATGTGGGAGCAGCAGTATTATGTGGGAGCAGCAGTATTATGTGGGAGCAGCAGTATTATATGGGAGCAGCAGTATTATGTGGGAGCAGCAGTATTATGTGGGAGCAGCAGTATTATGTGGGAGCAGCAGTATTATGTGGGAGCAGCAGTATTATGTGGGAGCAGCAGTATTATGTGGGAGCAGCAGTATTATGTGGGAGCAGCAGTATTATGTGGGAGCAGCAGTATTATGTGGGAGCAGCAGTATTATGTGGGAGCAGCAGTATTATGTGGGAGCAGCAGTATTATGTGGGAGCAGCAGTATTATGTGGGAGCAGCAGTATTATGTGGGAGCAGCAGTATTATGTGGGAGCAGCAGTATTATGTGGGAGCAGCAGTATTATGTGGGAGCAGCAGTATTATGTGGGAGCAGCAGTATTATGTGGGAGCAGCAGTATTATATGGGAGCAGCAGTATTATATGGGAGCAGCAGTATTATATGGGAGCAGCAGTATTATATGGGAGCAGCAGTATTATGTGGGAGCAGCAGTATTATGTGGGAGCAGCAGTATTACGTGGGAGCAGCAGTATTATGTGGGAGCAGCAGTATTATATGGGAGCAGCAGTATTATATGGGAGCAGCAGTATTCCATACACGGAGTTGCACTGTTGGTAGAGATAAACGTACCTTCTCTAACAATAATATTAATAAGAATAATCATAATAATCTTCACTTCTACAAGTGCATATATTGATGACACCGCGAATACAACCCACAATATCCTGGCTGGAACAATTCACAAGGTTCTCCCACACAAGATTTTCCGTGTTGTAGATCCTTGACGGACGTGTTGGAGAAGGTAGACTAACCCAGGTGGTCAGTCCCACAGGTGTAATTGGAGGGGGAAGCCCCGGGTGGCTACAACTTACCCTTCAAGTGGTAAGGGTCAGTGGAGGCAGTACGTACTTAGGTGAGGGTCTCCTGCCCCTGTCCACCCTCCCCTACCTCGGTTCACCTGAAGTCCACAACACCTGCCTGAGGATGACAGCCCCTCTCGTCCGACCAGGTGAATCAGGTGAGCATAGAAAGTACTTAGAACCTTAGTTTGTTAGGTATAAATTATACTAATTGTAACTTGGTCAATAAGGGTCACCTATACACTAACATTAATGAGACTGTTTCTTAAGATTTTAATTAAATAAAGACCTGCGTGTATAGACTGAGATATATACCTCTGAGCATATACTCTAAGACGAACACTCTTATGTATATACGGATACATACCTCTCTGTGTATATATACTGAGTGATACATACCTGTTTATATACCTAGAACTGACGCCTGTTAATATAAACTGAGAGATACACACCTTCCTGTGTATATTCACTAACATATACTTGTCAACACAGTGGCCGTCTCCCACCGAGGTAGGGCGACCCGACGAAGAAAAAACACTTTCACCATGTATACACTCTGTATATACATAATCATACAACCCCGTGTACTTCGATGTACAGCCATGTAATTCTATGTACTTCTTGTAGTTACACGGGTTCCTTCTCATCCCTGGCAGGATACAAGTGTGTGTCTGTGTTGAGGTCGAGGCTACAGGATCCCTTGGCTGTGTCATTCACCAAATGTTTAAGAAGTTACCATCCGGAGACCGCAAGGAATGACAGGATCTGACACCACGAGTGACAGTGTCTGACACTACGAGTGAGTGTCTGACACTACGAGTGACAATGTCTGACACCACGAGTGACAGTGTCTGACACCACGAGTGACAGTGTCTGACACCACGAGTAACAGTGTCTGACACCACGAGTGACAGTGTCTGACACCACGAGTGACAGTGTCTGACACCACGAGTAACAGTGTCTGACACCACGAGTAACAGTGTCTGACACCAAGAGTGACAGTGTCTGACACCACGAGTGACAGTGTCTGACACCACGAGTGACAGTGTCTCACACCACGAATGACAGTGTCTGACAGCACGAGTAATAGTGTCTGACACCACGAGTAATAGTGTCTGACACCACGAGTAATAGTGTCTGATACCACGAGTGACAGTGTCTGACACCACGAGTGACAGTGTCTCACACCACGAATGACAGTGTCTCACACCACGAGTGACAGTGTCTCACACCACGAATGATAGTGTCTGACACCACGAGTAATAGTGTCTGACACCACGAGTAATAGTGTCTGACACCACGAGTGACAGTGTCTGACACCACGAATGACAGTGTCTGACACCACGACTAACAGTGTCTGACACCACGAGTGACAGTGTCTCACACCACGAATGACAGTGTCTCACACCACGAGTGACAGTGTCTCACACCACGAATGACAGTGTCTGACACCACGAGTAATAGTGTCTGAAACCACGAGTGACAGTGTCTCACTCCACGAGTGACAGTGTCTGACATACGAGTGACAATGTCTGACACCACGAGTGACAGTGTCTGACACCACGAGTGACAGTGTCTCACACCACGAGTAACAGTGTCTCACACCACGAGTAACAGTGTCTGACACCACGAGTAAACGTGTCTGACACCACGAGTAACCGTGTCTGACACCACGAGTGACAGTGTCTGACACCACGAGTAACAGTGTCTGACACCACGAGTGACAGTGTCTGACACCACGAGTGACAGTGTCTGACACCACGAGTGACAGTGTCTGACACCACGAGTGACAGTGTCTCACACCACGAGTAACAGTGTCTGACACCACGAGTAACAGTGTCTGACACCACGAGTAACTGTGTCTGACACCACGAGTAACAGTGTCTGACACCACAAGTAACAGTGTCTGACACCACGAGTAACAGTGTCTGACACCACGAGTAACAGTGTCTGACACCACGAGTGACAGTGTCTGACACCACGAGTGACAGTGTCTGACACCACGAGTAACAGTGTCTGACACCACGAGTAACAGTGTCTGACACCACGAGTGACAGTGTCTGACACCACGAGTGACAGTGTCTGACACCACGAGCGACAGTGTCTGACACCACGAGTAACAGTGTCTGACACCACGAGTGACATTGTCTGACACCACGAGTGACAGTGTCTGACACCACGAGTGACAGTGTCTGACACCACGAGCAACAGTGTCTGACACCACGAGTGACAGTGTCTGACACCACGAGTGACAGTGTCTGACACCACGAGTGACAGTGTCTGACACCACGACTAACAGTGTCTGACACCACGACTAACAGTGTCTGACACCACGACTAACAGTGTCTGACACCACAATCGGATACCTAACCACAATTAAAAACGTTATCGTTGTGTAATAGTTGTAATCTATCTATCTATCTATTTATCTATCTATCTATCTATCTATCTATCTATCTATCTATATATATATATATATATATATATATATATATATAATTATATATATATATTATATATATATATATATATATATATATATATATATATATATTATATATATATATATATATATATAATATATATAATATAATATTATATATATATATATATTATATATATATATATATTGGTTTGCGATGTCTTATATGTAAGTATTATATAAAAATTCGTCTAGCCATATAGGATGCATTACTTTCCATTTAAAAGCAACAACAAATAAATATTAATCTGAAATTAAAATATTTAATATTAGTTGTAAGTGACCTCTGGTGGAAGAAAACTTAGTCACAGTTTGAATAATTTCTGTCTATTGGGTTTTATGATGTAGAGAAACTTTGTGTGTCCCTGACGAGTCTGACAGACACTCTCAGCACTGACAGTTTACACAATACACTGACAGTTTACACAATACACTAACAGTTTACACAATACACTGACAATTTACACAATACACTAACAGTTTACACAATACACTGACAGTTTACACAATACACTAACAGTTTACACAATACACTGACAATTTACACAATACACTGACAATTTACACAATACACTGACAATTTACACAATACACTGACAATTTAGACAATACACTGACAATTTACACAATACACTAACAGTTTACACAATACACTGACAATTTACACAATACACTGACAATTTACACAATACACTAACAGTTTACACAATACACTGACAATTTACACAATACACTAACAGTTTACACAATACACTGACAATTTACACAATACACTAACAGTTTACACAATACACTGACAATTTACACAATACACTGACAATTTACACAATACACTGACATAAGAACATAAGAACGAAGGAACACTGCAGAAGGCCTACTGGCCCATGCGAGGCAGGTCCAAGTCTCCTACCGGCTTAAGCCAATGCACCCAACCTAGTCAGGTCAGGTCACATTGACTTAAGGGAGGAACACGGCAACCGACCTGGTAGCACAAGCTATCAGGTCTAACTCACACCCACCCACATCCACTCATGTATTTATCCAACCTATTTTTAAAGCTACACAACGTTCTGGCCTCTATAACGGTACTTGGGAGTTTGTTCCACTCATCCACAACTCTATTACCAAACCAGTACTTTCCTATATCCTTCCTGAATCTGAATTTTTCCAACTTAAAACCATTGCTGCGAGTCCTGTCTAGGCTAGATATTTTCAGCACACTATTTACATCCCCTTTATTTATTCCTGTCTTCCATTTATACACCTCAATCATATCCCCCCTAATTCTACGTCTTTCTAGAGAGTGCAGATTCAGGGCCCTTAGTCTATCCTCATAGGGAAGGTTTCTGATACATGGGATCAACTTTGTCATCCTCCTTTGTACATTTTCCAGAGAATTTATATCCTTTCTTTAATAAGGTGACCAAAACTGTGCAGCATAATCTAAATGAGGCCTAACCAAGGATGTATAGAGTTGAAGAACAACCTGAGGACTCCTATTATTTATGCTTCTTGATATGAAGCCAAGGATTCTATTAGCTTTATTGCGAACACTTATGCACTGTTGTCTTGGTTTCAGATTACTGCTAACCAGAACTCCTAAATCTTTTTCGCAATCCGTAATATTAAGATCTACATTATTTAGTTTATATGTGGCATGGTTATTGTCCTGTCCAACATTTAGAACTTTGCATTTTTTTTATTATTATCACACCGGCCGATTCCCACCAAGGCAGGGTGGCCCAAAAAAGAAAAACTTTCACCATCATTCACTCCATCACTGTCTTGCCAGAAGGGTGCTTTACACTACAGTTTTTAAACTGCAACATTAACACCCCTCCTTCAGAGTGCAGGCACTGTACTTCCCATCTCCAGGACTCAAGTCCGGCCTGCCGGTTTCCCTGAATCCCTTCATAAATGTTACTTTGCTCACACTCCAACAGCACGTCAAGTATTAAAAACCATTTGTCTCCATTCACTCCTATCAAACACGCTCACGCATGCCTGCTGGAAGTCCAAGCCCCTCGCACACAAAACCTCCTTTACCCCCTCCCTCCAACCCTTCCTAGGCCGACCCTACCCCGCCTTCCTTCCACTACAGACTGATACACTCTTGAAGTCATTCTGTTTCGCTCCATTCTCTCTACATGTCCGAACCACCTCAACAACCCTTCCTCAGCCCTCTGGACAACAGTTTTGGTAATCCCGCACCTCCTCCTAACTTCCAAACTACGAATTCTCTGCATTATATTCACACCACACATTGCCCTCAGACATGACATCTCCACTGCCTCCAGCCTTCTCCTCGCTGCAACATTCATCACCCACGCTTCACACCCATATAAGAGCGTTGGTAAAACTATACTCTCATACATTCCCCTCTTTGCCTCCAAGGACAAAGTTCTTTGTCTCCACAGACTCCTAAGTGCACCACTCACTCTTTTTCCCTCATCAATTCTATGATTCACCTCATCTTTCATAGACCCATCCGCTGACACGTCCACTCCCAAATATCTGAATACGTTCACCTCCTCCATACTCTCTCCCTCCAATCTGATATTCAATCTTTCATCACCTAATCTTTTTGTTATCCTCATAACCTTACTCTTTCCTGTATTCACCTTTAATTTTCTTCTTTTGCACACCCTACCAAATTCATCCACCAATCTCTGCAACTTCTCTTCAGAATCTCCCAAGAGCACAGTGTCATCAGCAAAGAGCAGCTGTGACAACTCCCACTTTGTGTGTGATTCTTTATCTTTTAACTCCACGCCTCTTGCCAAGACCCTCGCATTTACTTCTCTTACAACCCCATCTATAAATATATTAAACAACCACGGTGACATCACACATCCTTGTCTAAGGCCTACTTTTACTGGGAAAAAATTTCCTTCTTTCCTACATACTCTAACTTGAGCCTCACTATCCTCGTAAAAACTCTTCACTGCTTTCAGTAACCTACCTCCTACACCATACACTTGCAACATCTGCCACATTGCCCCCCTATCCACCCTGTCATACGCCTTTTTCCAAATCCATAAATGCCACAAAGACCTCTTTAGCCTTATCTAAATACTGTTCACTTATATGTTTCACTGTAAACACCTGGTCCACACACCCCCTACCTTTCCTAAAGCCTCCTTGTTCATCTGCTATCCTATTCTCCGTCTTACTCTTAATTCTTTCAATTATAACTCTACCATACACTTTACCAGGTACACTCAACAGACTTATCCCCCTATAATTTTTGCACTCTCTTTTATCCCCTTTGCCTTTATACAAAGGAACTATGCATGCTCTCTGCCAATCCCTAGGTACCTTACCCTCTTCCATACATTTATTAAATAATTGCACCAACCACTCCAAAACTATATCCCCACCTGCTTTTAACATTTCTATCTTTATCCCATCAATCCCGGCTGCCTTACCCCCTTTCATTTTACCTACTGCCTCACGAACTTCCCCCACACTCACAACTGGCTCTTCCTCACTCCTACAAGATGCTATTCCTCCTTGCCCTATACACGAAATCAC